AGATAGATAGCTAGATAGATAGATAGATAGATAGATAGATAGATAGATAGATAGATAGATAGATAGATAGATAGATAGATAGATAGATAGATGGAGCCACATTGGGGGAGGGGGTTATCTCATCCCATCTCACTTTTTTCTTCCAGTAGTTCTTACTGTTTTTTAGGGGAAAAACATCCCTCCCTAGATAAAGAAGCCCCCTCTCCGTCACTCATGTCTGTGTCCCATTATTCTGTTTATTACCCTTACAGAATATTCTAAAATAGTGTGTCTGTTTTCCATTTTGATTTGCCAGTTCTTTAAGGGCACATTGTTTCATTTTCTTCTATTCACTGGAGTGCCCCCACATGCCTAGAAAAGGACCTGGCATATAATAGGCACCCAATAAATGTTTGTTGAATAACTGAACTAGCAGGAAATTAAAGCAAAACTGTGACTTGGGGACACACAAAGCAGAGTGGGAGGGGAAAGGGACTCATTGCACATTATCACCCATGAGGAATGGTGGGATCCTCCCCTAAGCCCCTAGGATTCTTGAGCCCTGAAGCTCCAGGGACATATTTCAACCCATTAGCAGAAGGAAGTGAGCAAAAAGAAGATGAAAGTGCATCAGGTTTGCAAATGGTTTATTTATGAAATGTAATTGATCACAGTAAGACACTCAAGCTATAAAAACATTCTATACAGTGGTTTGAAAGAGCAACACCCATCCCCCAAAAAGCAACCTATATTTACAACAGACATGATTTTCCTGAAGAGCATGTGCACAGTTGGTGCAAATAATCTTTGTACAGAAAAACAGACTCCCAGAGGGTTACCAAACAAATGTAGCAGCCAGGGTGAGCAAAAATAAATAATCTTTTCATATATATATATGTGATACATGTTTCCACAAATATACAAAGTGCAACCATGAAAAAAGCTCCCTTCTCTGTATGGGGGCTTATTTACATGCTTCAGAAAGGAAATCTTTCCCCAGTTTTCCACAAGGTGGGACGTATTTGCAGCCGCAGAGAACATTGATTCCTTCCACATATTCACGCAGGAGTAGGGGGCTGCGGCCAGTCCCTCCAGTCATAAATGCGATGTCTGTGGTGATTTCAGAAGGTGTTCTTGTTTAATGAGCCCCAGAAAATGATGGGGCCCAGAGCACTTCAGAGCTTCAAGGCCACACAGGCTTCAGGCAGTCAGTCACCCACCACTGCCCTGTCTCATTGGGGGAGTTAAGGCTCAAGGGTGTCGGCACAGACCGGGAAGCACCATTCAGGATTTGGCTTCCAAGTCCTGGGGGCCCTGAACTTTTTCAAACCTCCCACAGTGTCAGGGGGAGACCCCTCAAACCCCCCCCCCCATCAGCAGGCTCATAGACACTGGCCCTCTCTGTCCTAGGGACCCATCACAACCCAAACTGAAAACAGTGCAAACTATATGAATATGAGCTTTACACAATGTCCAACCCCAAACTGAAAAAGTGCAAGAGGATGCAGAAGGGACCTGGGTGGGGCCTGGCCACCCCCTGTCCTGAAGGGTGCTGCAAGAGGGCAGAGGCTGCATCACGCAGGCAGCAGGTGTCTCAGGCACTTAATAAATATTAAGGCGATCGTAGGCTCAGGCTTCCCTGGGGATTGCTGAGGCTTTAGTGAGTGAAGGGGGCTCAGAATGCTAGAATGCTGGATTCAACCATGTCAACACCACCATAGCCCTCCCCCTCCTGGCTTAAGGGAGTGGGGAAAAACCCAAGTTTGCCCTTATCTCGGTGTTAGTCAAAGCTAACTTGCTATCCAGCAAGACAGAGGTAAACGCATTTATTCCTGAGTTCTCTAGAAAATAGTGGTCCAGCAGCCACTTACTTCCTCTTGCTCCATGCCCCTCTGTCAGACCCTCAGGTAAGGAGTGAGTAGAGAAGCGAAAGCGGGCAGGCATCCCCAGAGAGGACAGTCTGTTCAACTTTCTCTTTTCCCCTTATACACAGAGACAAATCCCCACCCAAATCCTCTCTGTAGGCACTGTTCTACTCCATACACAATAAATAGGTAAAACAAAGCTCTGGCAGACAGGCCCGATGCCAGGTGCTTTTGGTCTCTTTGAATGAGACAGGAGGGTGTTGAGGTCTCAGCAAGGGTCAAGGGTCCAGGGGAAAAGTGTCCTTCCTGCCTGTGACCTCCAGCAGGTTCCTGGGAGGGATGGGCCCAAGGCCGTTGACTCAAGCAGCATCATCCTCCAGGCTGACCATCTGCCTCTGTGAACCAAATGATAAAGCCAGGAACTGTCAGTCTGACATTCCATCAGCATGGCAAGGGCCACCGGCTCCTCGTGTCCTCTTGGCCCACCCTGATCCAGTCCCTCTCCTTGTTGGGCCTGGCCTCAGCCCTTCACATGCTGCTCTCCCCACAGCCACCAGGGAATGGTTGTGAGCACTTGAGTCAGGTTCTGTCCCTCTGCCTAGAATACTCCATGGCTCCTAACCACACTCAGAGCAATAGCCCAAGTCCTGCCCTAAACCCACAAGACTGCTAATCTGCCCTCCCCGACCCCGCTCACCCCTTCCAGCTAAGTCCCCCTCCATCAATCTCCCCTCCCACTACCCTGGCCACCTCTGCTCCTCACGCCAGGCATAGTCCAGCCTCAGGGTCCTTGCACGGGCCTTACGCTCTGCACGCCACACACTCCCTGTTTAGAGCAGTCTATCCCAAGCACCTTCTCTAAAATCACATCCCTTCCCTCGTAGCCTTAGAAATCACTCTGTCCCCCTTCTGGCTTTCTTGTTCTTCAACTAACCTGAGAACTCTATGCACCCCACCCCCATTCTTTGGGAAGGGCCTGGTCCCCAGCAGGGATGAGGGGCACACCGATAAATGCACGTGCCCCGCCCAGGCCAGAGCCGAGGGCGCTCACCGAAGGGTAGGTGTAGCCGTCCTGGCTGCGGCAGATGTGCACCTCGTCCTCTGTGGTCTTCTGGTACACGGGGTTGTCGAAGTTGATGCTGTTGATGCTCTTAAGCCGCCAGTTCCTCCAGAACAGGAAGGTACTAACGCTCAGCACGACGATCAGTGCTGTGTGGAGAGGCGACCCTCACTCAGCTGCCTGGCACTGCCCAACCCAGCTGGCACGCACAGTGGCCTCACTTTTACAACTGCTGGTCTTTTCACATGTCTGTATTCTGTTCTGAATTTCAAGCAATTCTTGCCCATTGTAAAAAAGAAAAAAAAAAATCTACCTAGAAGCACAGTGTCTTGAACTTGAAGACCAATGGAATTCAAGCCTGGGGAGTCAGCCTGGCCCCACATTTGGTCTCTATTTGCCCACTGTCAGATCTGAGGGGGTGGGGTACTTATTTCATTCCCAGTTTGTCTGGAAGTTAGGTACACAGTAGATACTCAGCTGTTTTTGTTGTCCCTCAAAATATCAGACTATTACTGATTCTTCCAGGTTCCTTCCATGATTACCCACCCACACATGGGTTTAAATGAGAGTGGGACTGGATGGCTCTTTGCATCATTTATTGGGGCCTCTCTGTCACCACCTCACTCCTCCTCCAAGGTGCATCCAGGAGACACTAGGGCTCACACAGTACACCCAGATTCTGTCCTGTGCCCAAAGGGTGGGTGAGTCTCAGCCTCTGCTGTGTTCCTAGGTCCCCAGGAACTGGGTCGCCAGTGCACAGAAGCAGGTTTGATATGCAGGATGTACTAAACTATACTTCTTAAGTGAATAAATCTAGAAAGGGGGCAGTGATCAACAGGACACAAAGTGGGATCTCGGCAATCCTGTGAGGAAAGGGGCACCAGGCCAGCTTGCTGGGGAGGGAGGCGCTTGGCAGGAAGCTGGGAGCAGGGTGGGAAGCACACTTACAGATGGGGAGGACGGTGTACAAAGCCTTCATGCTGCCGGAGCCCTCCACCTCTCCTCTGCTGGCACCGTCACCCAGGACTTCGTGGGAGAAAGAGAAAGGGGAGATTCAGACCAGGTGTGGGATATCAATACGCAAAGGAAATGCCTGACATTTGTCGTTGTCCTTAAAAATTCAAAAAGGAACTTGGAGCATCTGCACCTATTTAGGAGGACTCTGCAGCGGTGCATTTACAAGACGCAGACTTAGCTGCGATGAGAGCTGCACGTGCTTCTCTGGTACGCAAGGTCACTGTTGGAATTTTTAACCTGGCTCTGTATTTTATGGGAGGAACCTGTTTTGGATGGGGCAGAAACCACCTTTTCACCTTATAATGCTCAGAAATTTGGATCACACCAAAGCCTGGGTTGAATGTCCCCAGATAATAAGAAATAATGGGTGACAGGACCTCATTATATAAATATGTATTATTTTGCACACCTCAGTTAGACAAAGTACAAGCCCCAGGCAAATGAAAGTTCAAAGCCCTCCAATTAGGCAAATGGACTGGGGGGGTGGAACTGATGTGCCACATCTGGATCACAGGGACACGGTGAGCAACTTTACCTTTATCAGTTATACTCAGATCTTCCTGGGTTTTAATTCCACTGGTAGTTGTATGTGTATAAAGAGTTTATACTCAGTTTTACCTTTTTTTTTTTTTAAAGAGATTTATTTATGCATACAGAACTGGGTTACAGGATGCCAGAGGTACAGGGGTAGTGAGAGGATTCGCCAGAGACAGAGTGGGGAGCAGAACAGGCAGAATGGCCAGGAGAGGTCTCTTCTGCCATGTGGGTCAGTCACCTCCCTGACTGGGAATCAAACTCGTGCTACAGTGGCTGCAGACAGTTTCGTGGTGCTGTGCTATAACTCATTGTACCACCAAGGAGGGCCCCAATTTTACCATTGTATATATTTAAGAAGCCTTATAACAAAGGACCTCCCTGGCAGCACTATCATCTTGATGACCTATGTTTGATCCCTAGGCTGGGAGCTGACCCACATGGTGCAGCAGACCTTTGCTGTTTTGCCCACTGCTCCCCTCAGCAGTATATTTCAGTTACACCTGTCTGTTCTGTTCCCCACTCTGTCTCTGGTGAATCCTCATACTCCCTGTGTTACAGGGCAACCCCAATGTGAAATGGGTTGCCTAACTGTGAGTCCTCACCCATATGCCTAAAGGGACTTATAATACGATTCAACTGCAGGCACACATGGAAAGGTTAATAACGGGCTTGTTTAAGGGAAAGGGAAATGAAAAACTCAGGGAAAGAAAGAGAGAGAGAGGCAAGTTGGTTAATGTGTCTGCTGACCTCCCCAATAGCACACTGAAAACTGGAGAAAAGCCAAGAAACCAGTGAGGCCCAAGGTCAAGAGACCCCCAAAGCCCACACGTCCAGTTTTATATCCAAACAAAATGGTTGCTTAACCCCTCCCTCGGGTCCTAACAATCCTCCCTTTGGTGTTGCTGGGATTTGTAGTTCTGATGTCTGGGGTGGGAGTGGAGTCCTCAAAATTCGTATCTGTAGAATTCGTTCAGGACATTCTCTTCCCCCTAACATCTGCACCTGTGACCTACACCCGTTTTTCTATGCAAAACTAAATAAAAATTCTTGAGAGAGGAAAAAAAGAAAAATCTTAACAAAAATAACTTAGGACAGCAGTAGCAGGGTCCTTGAGAAGTTACACCCACCACCCCTCTCACCACCAAGGCCTCCTCTGCCTCACTGAGAAGCCCTGATGGACCCCACTGTGAAATGGTTTTTAGTGTCACAGCTGAGGAGGGTCCAGGCTTCCTTCAACCACAACAGTTCCTGCTTTATTTCTTTTATGATTGAACAAAGGCTTCAGCTGCTCTGATGATGAGGGAAAATGTCTGAAACTTGCTGATAGGTCTTTTTTTTCTGGCTAGAAATCTCTGTGAAGTACTCTATTTCCGGCCTGCTTAGAAACGAGGTCAGGCACACTCTGGTGGACAAAGACATGAACAGCAGGTTTCCAAAAAATGATCAGCGCGGGCCTCAGGTAGGGCCATTATGTCCTTGAAACCTTAGATTATGACCTTGAGAAGAACAGGGAGAGGAGGGTGCAAAACTCACCTCAGAAACAAAACTTAAAAGGGATCCTCCAATCTCAATAATAATGTATATGTTAATGAATTATTTTTAAAAATCAAAATTAATGCAAAAACCCCCATGATGAATAAAAGATATAGGATTTAAAAACAGGATCTGGCCTTTCTTGCACAGTCCTGCCTAATCAGAATACTGGATCTCATAAAACCTTATCTACAAGACCAAATGGTCAATTCTAGTTTCATTATTTGATTAAAAGAATTCTGCAGGAGGAGGAGGGGCTTCCCTGGTGGCCTAAGGATTAATCTCAGCACTATCACCCCTGCAGCCTGACTTCGACCCTGGGCCAGGGAGCTGACCCACATGGCGTGGCAGACCTCTCCTGTCCCTCCCGCTGCTCTCCTCAGCAGTGTATTTCAGTTAATCTGCCTGTTCTGCTCCCCACTCTGTCTCTGCTAAATCCTCTTACCCCCTCACCTCTGCCCTACACCCCAGTTGTTTTATGCAAAAATTAATAATAATAATAATAATAAATACTGTCTGGGGCTTTTGTGCTCCCTTAGACACTGCACCAAGTCGAGCCTCCGCTGCCTGGGCCCAGACCTGTTTCTCGTGGGCCTTGATAAGCTTTCAAATTCCAGGGCTGTCATGACTGGTTGACTCTGGGAGATGCAGCCATTATGATCTTCCACCTTTTACTCACCTTAACCCACAGGAGCCCCTCTCCCAGCCTCTGGCATGCTGATGGGCAATCAGTCCCATTTACAGGCAGGGACTCTATGGCTTTAGGGACACACAAGCCATGTCAAAAGTAGCACAGAAGCCAAGACTAAGTCTCTCTTCATCAAGACACTTTTGGCCTCTGAAGGGACACACCTAAACTCTTGTCTCCATGACTGGGGAGCAAAGTGGTCCCAGGCTTTACCTTGATGTGTCATGGTCACTGTTTCAGTTGTGGTGAGCTCAAGGATGACCTCCGACTTTGGCCGGATGGTGTGCTTCGGCACCACAGCTGGTGACGTGACTGTGGAGGGCCCCCGGGTGGTCACTGCGGGTTCGGTCTCTGAAAGAAAACATTACCTGAGCGCCCTAAGCCCCAAACACCAGTTGGGGTACTGGTGGTATCGATTCGTTTTTTTAATTGTAGTATAATATACATAACAAAATTCATCATCTAAGCCACATTTTTAAATCCCCTTTTCTTCTTTTTTTAAAAATAATATAATAATATAATAGTTTATTTTTACATCACTTTGCGCCTTTTTCCATCTCAGTTGTAATCCCATGGGCTTTCCATCACCAAACACCACTTGCATAAATATGCAGCTAGTGACACCAGGCAGTGCCATCAGCCACAAAGAAATATGCAGAGCAAATGCTGTGAGAACAACCCCATTAATGTCTAGGTTGTTGTTCTATTGCTTGTTGTTTCTCAGAAACATGACTCACAGTGGGGACACACTGGCCCCAAATATGACTGTCTCTGAGGATGAGATTTGAAAAGGCAGCCATTCCTTACTCAAGGTCTATGTATTAAATCATCAAAAGGGAATTGCATCCACCTACTCAACACAGTAATATTTTAATATTTTCTGTAATATTGTGATTTTTGAGGAGTATTTGGGTTTCATACATAGTCCCTGGCTCACAAATCTTGGCATAGAAACTCCATGACCTGTTCCCTACCTGTCCCTGAATTGTATTATTCGTATCAGTGATTAGTGAGTAACTGAGCTCTTGAACCCATTTAGCTTATTAATTGTACCTGAGGCCGGGGTTCTGGGAACATCTGATCTACAGTCAGTCTTTCAGAAACAGGTAACAGTGTTACCTGTGAAGGGGAGGGTGGTCTTGGGAAGCTGAGCCCTTTATCTGTGGAATCAGATACATCTCTGGGTAGAAAGTGCCAGAATTGAGCTAAATTAAGATGAATGTTCAGATACCTTGGTGGATGTCTGAGAATCAACTGTTGGCATGAGGAAGCCTCCACACACTCATGGTGGAACCAGCTCTGGGAACCCTACACAGTCACCCCAACTCATGAGACCCTAACAATGGCACTCTGGGGCCCTGCTCTCACATTTGACAGGTGAACAAAAGGAAGCTCAGCGGATCCAGTGGTGGGGCCCAGTCATAATGGGTGGCAGAGGCAGCCACGTGGGCTGGTGTCTCACCTACAAGGCAGTTCTTCTTGTCCTTGGCCAGCACCATGCCGTCTGGGCAGGCACAGGTGAACTTGGGTGAGCGGGAGTTGATCTGTGGGGCTGGGAGGCACAGGTACTGGCAGCCACCATTTTGGAGGGCAGGACTCTCACACCAGTTCACCCCTGAGATGAAAGAGACATGGAGTCAAGGCAAGAACAAGGCCAGACAATTCCCGAGCACATGAACAAAGCAAGCAGCCACCCCTTTTTACCTCTTGGCTGCGTGAGGTTGTGGAAAAGGACAATATCCTCTGGGGACAATAGGTTTTCAGCCACCATATTAATGTCTGAGCCTGTGAGGCGGTTAGCACTGAAAATGGCTTCATTAATGATGTCTGTCCAAAAGACTTTATCCTAGATGGGCATTAAGAAAGATGACAGAAAAGAAAGAAAGATGACAGTCATTAATCAAAGGGTTGGGACACAGGCCTCTGAGTCTCTGCAAGTCTCTGGGAAGAAGCAATTCTTGATGGTATCGATTCGTTTGCCTTTTATGAGTTTTTTAAATTGTAGTAAAATATACATAACATAAAATTCATCATCTAAGCCACATTTTTAAATCTTTTTTTCTTCTTTTTAAAAAAATATGTTATTTTTACATCATTTTGTGCCTTTTTCCATCTCAGTTGTAATCCCCATGGGCTTCCCATCACCAAATCACCCGTATGCCATCACCATCCTGTGCACCTACCCCATTTTTGATCCCATTTCCCACTCCACCCCCATAAAATGTCTCATGTCTCTGGTATATCGTTGTTCATTATTATTATTATTTTCTCCCCTGGTCCTTTATGCTCCTGAGAGGCCACTTTTAAGTACACAGTTTAGTGGCATTAAGCATATTGTTGTGCAGCCAGCCACCTCCAGAACATGTTCATTTTTCCAACTGAAACTGTCTCCATTAAACACCAACTTCCCCTTGCACCTCCCCCAGCCCCTGATGCCCACTGTCAACTTCAGTCTCTATGGATTTGACACCTAAAACCTCATCTGAGTAGAATCACACAGAGCTTGTCCTTTTGTGACTGGCCTTTTTCACTTAGCATATGGTCTCAAGGGCCATCTATGTTCACCTCCGGGGCTGGGGATTGAACTTCCACTGAAGCGGCTGCAGCTCGCTTACAGTTCTGCACTTTAACCTGAAGGCCCAGGTTAAAGTTTCTGTTCTTTTTAAGGCTGAGTAATATTCCATTGTAGAGCTATACATTTATTTGTTTACCCATACATCCTTGATGGATACCAGTCTGCTTCTAAGCCTTGCCCACTGTGAATCAAGAAATGTTGTTTGACCACATTTCTCTAGACCATAGTTCCCCACTGGGACACTATTTTGGGCCAGATAAGGCTCTGTGGCGGGCTTCTCTCCTCTTATAGGTGAGAAGCAGCATCCCTGTCTCTACCAACTAGAGACTAGCACAGACACCCATCCCTGCCAACTTTGTGACAACAAAGTCTCTAAACATTTCCAAATGTACTATGGAAGGCAAGATGGCTTCCATGTGTGAATCACTTAGACCTTTCAAGACTCCTCTGTGGAAAAAATACAAAATGGAAATAAATTCAGGTCTATGACCTGTTTACAATCACAGGCAGTTTTTTGAGCGAATCTTGGCTTGAACACAGCAGCCAAAGTGTATTGACCCCTCAGCAAAAGTGTGCAGGATTCCTATAAAAGTAGCACTCGATAAACAATATGAAGCCCTAGAGCACAGAGGAGTACACCCCTACCTCGAAGATGGCCAAGGAGAAGGGGTGCGCCAGCTTCTTCTCATCTTCTAAAACAGTCTTCCGGTTCCCTCCATTGACATCAATGCTGGAGATGGAGTGGAGCTTGGAGTCTACCCAATATAGGCGGCCACCAGAAAGATCTAGAACCACCGATGGACAAGGAGAGGTCAGGCTGATGCCAGAGGTGCCTTAGGGCTTGCTCCCTCCTCTCCTGGTAGGAGGGGCCCACGGTGCAGCAGAGATGAGCCTGGCCACAGAGCCATACCCCCCCACACCCCATGCGAGCCTGAGCCTGGGTTCGGCTTACCCCAAGGGTTTAAAAATCTTGGGCAATAAAATTGTCAGGTTGCTTTACGGTCTAGGGAGCTCCCTAGTTATGTTTCTCTTCCAGACTGCACCTGACCCCTAGGGACCCTGGTCCAAGAACATACCCAGAGTGATGCCATTGGGCCACTGAATATCTTCTGTCACCAGAGAGTAAATGTCCACACCATTTAGGCCCCCCTTCTTGATCTTGGCTGGGGTTCCCCAGTCTGTCCAGTACATGAAGCTGGTGGGAAAGCAAGAGAGCAAACGTGATGACAACAGTGAGAGGCTCCCAGTTTCCGCCTGTTAGCCAGGCTGGGGCTCCAGAAATACTTTCAGATACAAAGCCCCCATCATGGTTCTTTCTGTTTCCCCAGCCTTGTGACCCAGGGCCTACACCATGCCGAAATGCAGATTTAAGAATCCTTGCTACAAAAGGAGATTTTGATTTCAGTGTCAGGACTGGGCCCTGGAATCTGCAACTTGAATGCTGATTAATTGTTTAAGATTTGTTTTTTATTTACTCTTGCTACAGTGGCTGGCGATAGCTTGATAGCACTGACACTTTAACCCCTGAGCCAGCAGGGAGAGCCCTACAATATTTTTTCTCCAGCATACAGGATTTTTTTCTTCAGCATCTGGCTTTGTGCACTTAGCATGATGTCCTCAAAGTTTATCCATGTTGTAGTATGCCAGGATCTCCTTCCTTTTTAAGACTTGAATAATATTCCACTGTATGTGTGGACCATGTTTTGTTTATGCATTCATCCATCAACGGACAAGTGGGTTGCTTCCACCCCTTGGCTATGGTGAATAGTTATGAACATAGGTTCTATGGTCTACAAATATCTATTCAAGTCCAGTTTATACTTCTTTTGGATTTATACTTAGAAATGGAGCTCCAAGGGCTTTTAAACCTCTGAAGAGACACCCAAACAATATGAAAAGAGCCAAATACAAATTAAAATGACACTTGACCATACCACCAACTTCCTCTCCCACCCTCCTCCACTGGGGAATGTGTTGGTGAGGGGAATGGGGCCTCCCGGGCATTTCTAGTGTACATTTGGAAGGTTAATTTGACCCATTCCCCTAATGTAGCATCCAAACTTCTAGAACATTATCCTACAGATATACTACAAAGACTCCCATGCAAAGGTATTTAGAGGCATTTGGAAATAATTTGTGTACAACTCAGAGGGGGAAAGAGGGATATTGACGAGTCTCCCTGGTGGTTTAGTGGTTAGTCTCAGCGCTATCACAGCTACAGCTGAGTTCAATCCTTGGCCAGGGAGGTGACCCACAATGGCGTAGCAGGCCTCTCCTGGCCCACCCGCTGCTCCCCTCAGCAGTCTTTCAGTCCATCTGCCTGTTCTGCTCCCCACTCTGTCTCTCGTGAATCCTCTCATCCCCTGCACCTTGGGCCTGTACCCCAGTTCTGCATGCATAAATAAATAAATCTAAAAAAAACAGTTGGTTGTTGAATCTTAATTTCCCTGCTCTGGATACAAGTTACATAAATCATGACCACAGGGAATAATTCCCATCAGGTCAAAAGAAAGAGACAGATGGAGGGCAGAAGAGGACGCTGGGCTACTACTTGGATAAAAAGAAACACCACTGGTATCTATGTGGGCTGTGTTTGGGAGGATCTTTCCTGTAGTCGGGACTAATGGACCATGTGTCCCTCTGCCAAATGAGAGCATCCGTCTTGTTCAGCCAGGACCCAGGCCCTGGGCCACCTTCACCCTCATCTGAATTGTGGACCCCATGTGAGGAGGGCTAAGTGTGCCTTCCCCAAGGCCAAATGATACCTTTCTTCCCCTTGCTGCCACCAGGACAGGCTGTCCTTCCTGGATGGTTACCACCACTCCTCCCTAGAATTGTGAAATTCCACATGTAAGATGCTGAGCTGACAGATGTAGTCCAACAAGGACCACGTGGGGCTTTCCTCCCCACAGTTCCTGTGGGCCCTGGAGCTGCTGAGTCAGCCACGGGCCTCTGCAGATGGCTTCCAGGAGCTCTCCTGGGGTGGCGGGCCTTGCTGTCCCAACTTCTCAGAGTCAGCTGACGCTGGACTTGAATGAATCATTTTATCTTTCTCCACCTACCTGCTGGCAAAGGTTGCCACAAAATACTAAATGAGAACTTAAATTGCTACTGAGTGCTTGTTTCTAGTATCCATCTAATCAGTACGGTAATATTCGATTCTAGATCCTATTCCAGAGAGCAGACTTCTCAGGGTCTGATTTCATCTCTGGTGACACAACAGACATGGACAGGGATTGACCCCCCAGGAACTCCAAAGGGTTGGTAGGAAGGCCTGCCCTCCCAGGCAGCTCCAGACAGTCCCCTCCACACTCAGTGTGATTTACCTCCGGTACAAACTTTCCCAGCACAAGTTCTAGAACCCCTTCATTTCCTGTATCCCCTCAGCTTTGGGAATACACACCCATGAACAGGATCCACCACAATGGCCCGAGGCTTGGAGCCTTTCTCCTTGAAAAGCGTCTTTCTCTTGGCCCCCTTGGTGTCAGCCACAGAGACGGTGCCCAGGACAGAGTCAGTCCAGTATAAATTGCCATGGATCCAGTCCACTGCCAGCCCATCAGGGGCCTGGAGGTCCTCGCCAATGACGGTGTCGTAGGAAGAAAAGCTATGGGCTCTGTCAATCTGGGTGCTGAGGAGGAGGAGGAGAGTGTCAGAGCCAAGGGAGCTCATTTCACATGGGACCAGGCCTAGGTGCTGAAGCTCACCTATAGATCTTCCTTTGGGACAGGTCAGACCAGTAGATTCTGTTGCTGGCCACCTCAGTGTCCAAAGCGACCACATTCTTTAGATTGGGGATGAGGCTGGTGTATTCACTTCGGTCCAAAGTCATCTTCCTCACCTCATGGCGGTTGGTGAAAAAGAGGTAGGCGATGGTGCCTGGAAACCCAGGAAGGTGCTCAGGGGAGTGGAAGGACCCTAGATACCCCGCTCTTGGCACCCTATGGGTCTGCAAGGGGAAACACCCAGGATATTAAGTGGAAGAGCACTTTTCAATTAAGATCTACAAGGTTCTGAAGCTCTGAAACAGGGCTCTTGCACATCCCAGAGGGTTCTACTTTTGCTTCAACTTGTTTCAAACACAAAGTAAGCAGCCCATATCCCTACCGCCTTCCCTGACTCTCCTCCCATGTCTGAGTCAAACACCAGACTACAGTGTACCCTGCTCTGAGTCTGCAGAAGCTATCCAAATGAGGCCATCCCAAACCAGCTTACCCTGCCTTGCCTATTCCTTCCAAAAGAACCACAACAAAGACCCCTACCCGTGGTTTTCCTTGCTTCCTCTGCCTCTCTGGGAACAGTTCCTGTGGGCCCTAGAGCTGCCGAATCAGCCATGGGTCTGCAGATGGCTGCCAGTGGCTTCACTGGGGTGGTGGCAGTTTTGCTGTCTCACTTCTCCTTAAAAAAGTCAATTGGGCCCTCCCTGGTGGCGCAGCGGGTTAAAGCACTGCACTGAGAAACTAAAGCCACTTCCGCATGAGTTCAATCCCCGCCTGCCCCGGAGGTGACCACATGGCATGGCAGACCTCTCCTGGCCCGCCCGCTGCTCCCCTCAGCAGTGCACTTCGCCGATCTGCCTGTTCTGCTCCCCGCTCTGTCTCTGGTGAATCCTCTCACCCTCCACATCTCTGGCCTGTACCCCAGTTCTGTATGAATAAATAAATAAATCTTTAAAAAAAAAAAAAGTCAATTGACTGATGCTGGACTTGAGCGATGCAGCTTCCTCATGTGGCCCATAGCATACACTGCATTCCTGGTGTGATCTGTGATCTCAGTACAAGTGATACAGGGAAATTCTACTCCACCCCAAAAGAATCGGGGCAGCATGGGGACAGGACAGAGGGAGGCCCATAATCGCAGGCGAGGAAAACAGAAAGGCAGGGAGACCTTTCAGGAAATGGAGGATGCTCGAAGACATTTCCACACAATTAAACCACACTGGGATCACACCACATGCGTGTCTGGGTGATGGGACAACTCCCCCGGGCCAATGCTGTAGTCTGGTGTTTGGCTCAGACGTGGGTGAGAGTCAGGGGAGGTGGTGGGGATATGGGCTGCTCAGTTTGTGTTTGGAACAAGTTGAAGCCCTGTTTCAGAGCTTCAGGAATCATGAAATTCCTGATTTAGGCGAGTCTAAGAATGACTGCAGTTAGAGTGTAAGCCTCAGAACAAAAAGAAACTCAACCGTTTCTGTTTCGATGCATTATGTACTAATTTATTTTGGTCTCTTTTCAGTAGATTTGCTGTCAGAGGTGTGAGTTCGTTTTGTTAATAAGAAAACAGCTGAATGGATGCAGCTGTTCACCAGGACTTCTCATCTCTTAGCCCGAGCCCATCCCAAATTCCCAAGGAAAGACGGAGCGCCTGTTTCCAGTCATCAGCAGGGCTGGGGCCTACAAAGCAATCCCCATGGGGGTGACCTGTTTCTACTGAGAAGCCAGACATGTGCCAGCCTGTTGGCAGCCTGCTGCCTGCCCTAAAGGGAACTGGGGTTTCTGAGAGTACCTATCTACTCTGCACAAGGAGTTCAGGGAGGTTAGGGGTTCTGCAAAGAGAATTCTTCCCAGAGTTGACTCCTGTTTTCTGAGGATGTATTGGTGTGTGCATGCTCCCTATTAACTAGAAAAACTTGTTCCAGCAGTAACTTATTGATTTGTATAAGCATAAACACATTTGTGTGCTATTTGCTTCTCCTTTGTTCTTATCTTTAGTGAAAGCTTGGTCTGGGAGAGTGAGAGGCAGAGCTGCTCTCCACGGCACCTCCCCAGCCTACTCAAATTCATTTACACTCCAAGTTAATGGCTGAGAACGTCATCCGTTGTCCACAACACCAGTCTTCTAAAGAGGCTAATTCCTAACTGGGCTGCTTGCCCACCTGCCAGAAGCCTGGGGAGCAAACAGTCTGCCCCTGCGTCAGCAATCTACACAAAGTTCAGATTGTGAAACTCCCCGGTACGTTTGCTTGAGCAGCCAGACCCACCCTCCCACCTCTGCCCCATGCTCACCCAAGGCCTTGCAGGCTTTGGTGCGGGGGTCCAGCTGGAAGCCCTCCATGCATTCGCACTTGTAGCTGCCCTGGATGTTCACACAGAGCTGGCTGCAGGTGTCGAGGTTCTGACACTCATCAATATCTGTGAGTTGGGACAAAGAAAGAGGTTTGGGGCATCTTCACTCTGGGCATGGCTGGAGTTACGCCTCTCAGGGACAGCCCTCCAGTCTGTGAAAGATCACGGGGCCAGGGTGTCAGTGACCATCAATTTCAGGAATAAAATCATGAAGAAGGTCGAATGTCACTTCCAACATGGCCCTGGCTGCAACATTAATCTCTGGGGACAGACGAAAGGGCGAAGCTGCATCCACTTGTGGCTTCTTTAATTATTAAGCCACAAAAGGCAAGAATGGCAGAAGAGCCAATATGGACCAATGCTCCCGAAAGCCCCAACCTGTGCTAGACATCGCGTACATCGAGTAAAATCCTCCCAATAGATTTCACACCCACTGAACGGGTGCACAGACACAGAGGACTTGCCCACCTGCCCACCGGGAGTCTGCCCCATAGGGGAATCACCTTCACATCTGCGCTGGTCCACCAGGCGGAAGCCCTCAGGGCACAAGCACTTGTAGCCAATCTTGAGGTCATTGCAGATGTGGGAGCAGCCACCCTTGTTGTCTAAACACTCATTGGTTCCTGCAAGGGGCGGGGGACAGGTCAGTGACGTCATACCTCCTGCCACCGCTGTCCCATCATCCCTCACTATTTCACCATCTTTATCATCTCACAATGACTTGGAGGCCGGTAAGCTATCATGGGAGGACTTAAAATAACTAATGTCACACACAAAACCCGTGGATGAACCTGGAGGATGTGTGCTGAGTGATATAAGCTAGGCACCTAAGGACACTGTTAGAGAGGTCCCTGGAGGAGTCAAGTTCAGAGACAGACAGTAAAGGGCGGATGCCACGGGTTCGAGTATAGAGGAATGGGAGTTAGTGTTTAAGAGGGGCAGTTTGGGAAAAAATTCTAGAGTCGAGTGGTGGTGCAAGTTGCACAATAATGGGAATGTCCTTAATGTCACTGAACTGGACTTATAAAAAAGGCTATGGAGATACTTTTTTTTTATATCACAACTAAAGTTTCTTTAATTATAAAAAATAAATTCCATATACCACAATTATATATTAACCCAGCAAATCTACTCAATACCTCTGGGTATTAAACAACATGGTGGGGAAACTGAGGCAAAACCAAAGTAAAATGACTCGTCCAAGATCACATTGCTGGGCTCAAATGTAAGGCAATTCGCTCGAGAATTCAGGCTCTTGCTGTCATCGCCAGGCACAGGCCAGAGCCGTCCTATCACCTGCTCTTACTCAGCCCAACAGCTAGTAGAAGGTCTTACATTTACTGTCTGACACTTTACAGGGACGTTTGCTGCTCCCACTTAATACACAGCTATCCCCAATAATGAGCTATCTGCAGCCACTGCAGCACGAGTTCAATCCCCAGCCAGGGAGCTGACCCACATGGTGCGGCAGACCTCTTCTGACCCCTCCATAGTGTACTTTGTTGATCTGCCTGTTCTGCTCCCTGCTCTGTCTCTGGTGAATCCTCTCACCTCATACTTCTGGCTTGCACCCCAGTTCTGTAAGTATAAATAAATCTTTAAAAAAAGTATGTCTGTTAATGCTAAAGGACCAAAAAGTACTCAATGATTTGTTCGTCACCAAGCATTGCACTGAGAGACAATGGACATCACGTGGGTTCCTCCCAAGCAGCACTAGGAAGTGTGAGCAGAGGCACAGAGTGAAGCTGCTTATGCCCAAGGCCCCCCATGTCTGTCTCACTCCAGAACCAAAGCATAAGAGCCTTTCAGCTCTTTAAGGGCAGGAGCCCAGAACCCCCAGATGCACTGCATCCCACCAGCTCCATGAGCTGCTGACACCCCAGGGCTCACCACACTCTTTGAGGGGTTCATCTGACCAGTCCCGGCAGTTCCTGACTGAGTTGCACACTTTGTCCATGGTGATGCATTCACCACTGTGGCACTTGAACTTGTCAGGCCCCTCACACAGGGTCACTGTGAGAACCAAAGGCGAAAGTCAAGCACGGCTTAGGGCAGAGCTCTAGTGTTCTTTCATTATATATAATAGTAAACATTTACAAAATTATATCCAATGTATTCATTAGTAAAATTTAAGAGGAGTTGGCAAACTTCCACCCATGGCCAAAGCAGCTCACTGTTTGTTTAAGCAAAGTTTTATTGTCACACAGCAGGCCCATCATTTACATACTGCCTGGGGCTTTTTCCAGGCTGCTATAACAAAGCTGAGTCATTATAACAGACTGTGAACCAGAATGGCAAATATTTACCTCTTAGTGTAAGGTGTGCTGATACCTGGTCTAGATTATCATGGGCCATGGGCTACATAGTGAGGATTCTGCCAGTGAAAGTGTGTGTCCAACAGCTGTCCTTCCATGTATCCTACATGTGTGATAGGTGATGCCAGGTAGGTTCCCATAATCATGCTCTGACATGCACACATTGCCAAAATTGCCTGACAATGCACTTCTTAGAATGTATCTCTGTTATCAGGCACACGACCGGATAGCAACCTTCACTATCTCAACCTGGTACCTTTCTTTTTTTTTTTTTTAATTACAAAAGTTTATTTTTACATCATTTTGTACATTTTTTTTTCATCTCAGTTGTAATCCCTGCAGGTTTCCCATCACCAAGTCACCCGTGTGCCATCACCATAATCCCGTGCATTTCCCTCCCGCCCCCCCACCCCATTTTTGATCCCATTCCCCACTCCACTCCCACAAAATGTCTCTGGTATATGTCAACCTGGTACCTTTCTTATGCTCTTAGAAGTAATAATGATCATCCTAGTTTTTTTTTTTTTTTTGAGATTTATTTATTTATGCTTACAGGCTGGGACACAGGCCAGAGTTGTGGTGGGTGAGAGGATTCACCAGAGACAGAGTGGGGAGCAGAACAGGCAGACTGACAAAGTACACTGCTGAGGGGAGCAGTGGGCAGGTCAGAACAGGTCTGCCACATCATGTGGGTCACCTCCAGGGTGGGGATCTAACTCATGCTCCAGTGGCTTCAGAGAGCTTCATGATGCAGTGCCTTAACCCCTTGTGCCTCCACGGAGAGCTCCGATCATCCTAATTTTTGAGGATATAATTTTCTTATTTTTTCATTAATAGCTCTATCGAACATGTATTAATGAGCAATACAGTGCTGAATTTTGCTTGTGTTCAAACCTTATAAAATACTATATCTAGTAATCTCCTGCTGCTTGCTTCTTGCTCCCAGCACCAAGGTTGGGAGGCTCACCTGCACTGTGTCTGAGAGTTGCAGCCTTACTTTTCTCAGCTGTGTGATATTCCATTTGTTTATGCCACCATTTAAACATCACTTGTATATTTGTGTTCACAGCAGTACTATTCACAAGAACCAAAAGGTGGAAGCAAACCCAAGTGACCAACAGCAGCAAATGACTCGATAAACGAAATGTGGTATATGCAGACAGTGGCGTGTAAGTCAGTCTTTAAATCTTGAGGACATTAAGCTAAATGAAGTAAGGCAAGTGCAAAAGGATCAATACTTTACAATTCCACTTTTACAAGGCCCTTGGAGGAGTCAGATCATAGAGACAGGAAGTAGAGCTGGGGGAGGGGGTAGAATTTCAGTTTTGTAAAACTAAAAAGAATTCTGGAGAAGGATGGTGGTGGTGGTTTTCAAGAGTGTGAATGTAATTAATGCTACTAAACTGAACACTTAAAATGGTTAAATGGTAACTTTTACACGTGTATTTTGCCACAGTTAATTTTTTCTTTGTAAAACGTATTTCTGGGCCCTCCCTCCTGGTGCAGCGGGTTGGAGCGCTGTACTTTGAAGCTAGGCCAAGCCGTGGCCGCTTCAGTGGGATTTTTGGTCCCCGCCCCGGAGGTGACCCACATGGCGCTGCAGACCTCTCCTGTCTCACCTGCTGCTCCCTTCAGCAGTGTAACTTCGTTGATCTGCCTGTTCTGCTCCCCACTCTGTCTCTGGTGAATCCTCTCGCTGCCCCTGCATCTCTGGCCTGTACCCCAGTTCTGTATGCATAAATAAATAAAATCTTTAAAAAATTGTGTCTACTGTTGATGAACATTCTGGTTGTATCAGTGCATAGCCGCTGGTTCTGGTAGAAGTGCCACTGTAAATCCAGGACAGTGCATTTTGTGGAACTGTACTGTGCATGCAACTCTCTATCCTGTATCCTCCCACCTCATTAAAGGTTATGGTCCTGAGAAAGGTGCTTCCATTACACATATTCGTTTCCAGTGAGTGAAAATGAAGCTTGCCCAAAGACACACACCACAGCAGGGGCTTCCCTGGGAGGCTTGCCCTCAGCTCCACCCTCATCCAGGATCCAGCCAGGTCCTCCTCCTGCCCTCCCCCTTCCTCCCAACTACAGCAAGGGGCTACCCCCTATCTGCAGAAAGGGGCTCACCGTTGATGCAACCGAGTTCATCACTCATGTCCTTGCAGTCATACTCCCTGTTGCACTGGCGGCTGCCGTGGATGCAAGTCCCATCAGAACACTGAAACTCATCAGGCCGACACGTGACAGTGGCTGAAAACAGAGAGCTGGTGTTGGTTTTTCTCAAGGAGCAGCAAAGAGGAAAGAAGTCCCACCTTCCACACAGATTCCAAGAGGCTAACAGGAGGCAGCTGCCTGGGACCTGGGGGACTGTCTACCCGCAAGGCAGAGCTTTAGAGATGCACGAACCTTGTCCACCAGCAGTCAGTGACTTGTTCATTTTACCTGTTCCCCACTACAGGGAAAAACTCCCCAGGTACAACTCGCTTCATATTGTAAATTTTAGCCAATGTAAACTTGAAACCATTGTATGTGGCTGCAAGTACAATGATGAATCATTTGGAATCATTTGGAAAAGGAAAAAGGGTGGGGGGGTAAGGACACAAACACAACTCACAACTTCCACATTTCCTTACATGCCTTTTTTAGAGCATGTCACCAAGCTGGCAGAGCCTGCAGGTCACTCTCAACAGAAAAGTAAAGATGCCCAAGCTAGGCTGAGGCAGGTCAAGAAAATGAAGCTGAATCAGAGCAATACCATGGCATGTAATATAGCCACTCAAACGATTAAGACTCTGAACTCAAAGAAGTTTGAGATGATGCTGTGTGATAAAAGACGCCTCTACAATGAAATCTCAGAGGACACAGATGGTGATTAGAGTAGGGAAATGACGGTCGCAGTCTAGACCTAGATCTTCTAGGTTTGTACTTTGTGCTAGTTCATAAAACTGTATGTTTATGTTTTGTGCACATTACTGTGGGTTACATTTCACAATAAAAATGTTTGCAATTTAGGGGCCCTCCCTGGTGGTGCAGTAGGTTGGAGCGCTGTACCAAAAGCTAAGCCAAGTCATGGCCATTTCAGTGCTGAGTTTGATCCCCGCCCAGAGGTGACCCATATGGCATGGCAGACTTCTTCTGTCTCTCCCGCTGCTCCCCTCAGCAGTGTCCTTTGTTGATCTGCCTGTTCTGCTCCCCACTCTGTCTCCCCAGGGCTCACCACACTCTTTGAGGGGTTCATCTGACCAGTCCCGGCAGTTCCTGACTGAGTTGCACACTTTGTCCATGGTGATGCATTCACC